GATAGAAACAATTTGAGCATTCACGGGCGTTAATCTACCATCTGTGAACAAATAATTCACAGGTAAGTGTCCTGCAAATTGGTCACGTTTCCGAAATCAGTGCTACATCGCCAGAACGGGAGGCTTCACACACCACCACTCAGAAATAATCTGTGCAGCTCTGCGAGGTCGACTCGTTTGGTTCAATCGACGAAACCGACAGTCGTTCCTTGATGAAATCAGATTTGTTGACGGTTAACTGTTTCGAATCATTCGACCTTCATTACACCTCCGACTAAGATACACTTGAGATTTACATGTATATCTCGACGTTTTGACTCTCATTCATGACAAGGCATTGAATTCAACGATGGTGTGGTGTTGAAATTAAAGTCAGATCACTTTTATGATCACATACGTCCGAATGAATCGAATGGAGTATTTGAGATGTTACGCTACCATTATCATACTATTTAGGATGAGTCATAAAAAGCGCTCATGTTGTCCAGTTAATCAGCGAGGTTCTTCCTCCTTACATGTTTTTCGGAAATTCTCAATGGACAGTACAATGATTACACGGTTTTAATCACGGGTTCGTTTACGTGTGTTTACATGCACCTTGTCATACAGGTCTCGCATTGGCAGCCGGTGCAAAGCTCTATTGGATTGGACTGAACAAAGTTGGTCAAAACTGGATCTGGACCAACGGAAAGGTGGCAACACTAACCAATTGGAGAGGCAGTGAACCGGACGGATGTTGCTCATCAAATGTGACGTGTGCTACTGCTGGTTATCGAGGTGCGAGAGGTTTATGGGATGACACAGGATGTCAGCGAGCATGGTCAACTGATCATGGATTCGTTTGCAAACGGCCGACCCGTCCGTGATTCTCGACTCGATACTCGACTGACTGCTCATCACAGCAGGTCAATGTCGGTGTTTAAGGCACGCAGTTCTTCACACCAAAGTGCGCATATCAGCAATCTCTGATCGTGAGTGTTGATTCCGATATCAACGATGATTGTTGTTATGTGCTGCTTTGAGTGGTTTTCTGTGAGAAAATTTGTATCGCTTGGAGAGTTCATTGGTTTTGCAGCTACAAAACCAATGAATCTCGTTAATATTAAGGTGTTTTAAATGTAGAATTACTTGTTTAGTGAGTTTCACACGTAAAACATTCTTTCGATACCGTATCAAATTTACGATTATTTTCATCATTATTACTTTCTTTACAGCTCTCATTATTATCATCAGTGTTATTTGCAATTGTGTTTTCCTTAATTCCATAACTAATACCACTTTTACTACGCAATTACTGCTGTTATTTGCGGTGTTATTGTCATTTAACTGGTAATAAAAATATTGTCGTTATTTAATACCACTTGTTTACTTCATTTGAGTTCAAGCAATTGAACGACAAGGCATTTATTTGCATCGTTGGTCTCTTATTGCCAACTTTGTTCGTTGAGACTAAATTTCAAGTTTTTGGGATTTTTTACATTAGTCAAGGAGAGCAGATTGAACACTCCGGTAAACGATTCCATATATTTTATGCAGATGCAAGAGATGAAGTACTTTCTGCTTCTACCTTTTCCACTTATATATCGTTCAGTTTTTCCGTAATTCATTCACATGTTGATCTTCACATATCATTAAAATGTTAACAGGCGATCTTGCTTACCATACAACAACATTTCAAAAACCAATAAGCCTGAATTCAAAAGGAAAACGAAACTTGCAGGAATTATATTGAAACTTTTCCTGTTTTTTTTGAGAAAGGGATTGTCTAAAAAAGATTAATTAGAAAACAGAAATTCCACGATCAGCTTAATGGCAAACAAAGCAATTATATGATGGAAATTGACTCATTTCAAAAATACCATAGAAACGGAATACAGTATACTATTCGGGAGAGTGATGCGATGTGCAAAATATTTTCAATTTACTCTGCAAAATTCCACAAAACATTGTCACTTCTATACAAAAGCTTTAGCAAGCACAGAAAACAAATACAATTCATTAGCGGTGATTATGAAGGTAGCTCTAGTCAACTGAGACATGTTCGACTTCCTTACATGAAACTGATCAGAAACAAAACTCAGCAGCACACAAACCTTCCACTTCAATTTCACATCGAAAATTTCGTCTGTTCGAAATAAGAGCCATAGATTTCAGGCTATCCCGAAAGAAGTGTCTCATTGCAAAATACCATTGCACAAACCGTACCGAATCACCGACTCCGGGTAGTTTATATCAGTCTATGCATGCTACATCTGGGACTACGAGGACCGGATATTTCCTATCAGTTGCATATGCTTCAAGCAAAACTGTGATGAAATGTGGTTTGATATGCCAGTCAGTCCCTGTCCTAACAAGTAAAACCACGTCTACGACAAATCAATCGCTCATCAATAACGCTCAACAAATTTCTAAAAGTGAGCGTAGCTGTTTCTAAAAAAAACATTAAATTCTAAAAAGTGTGAATTCTCTCCTCTAGAGACAATTTTTCCGCAACAATACACACGAACATTCATTAAATCCCAAAACAGTGCTGTGAAAAAAGTCCACTAGATGAATTCTGGGTCGACGATAGACCTTCCCACTGAATCTATCAAAGCGCCTCGTTTCGCATTGATCAGAAGGCAATATCTTTACAATTAAGTGGTTCGTGTACAATGTGCTAGTCAAAAGGAGTTAACGACCAATTTCAACGCCATCTAATCGGCGCTTTGAATTGTCGAAAAACGCTTTTTTTGTAAAATTGGTAAAAGTTTCGCGATGTGATTGATCAATCCATGCAGCCACAATCATCCGCGGTATGTTCACTACAACACAAACACCTCGAGTAGATGCATGTTCAGATTCAAGTGCTATGGTAATTCAAGTGATACTGCTGTCAGACGAGATACCGTACGTTGTGCGATCATGTTACCGTAATTCGTCGATCATCAAGTAATACATAACCGATATATATAATTATGATCATCCCTATCAAATATTCTAAACCAAATATTTCCGTATTCCAATCCCAATTCAAATACTTCAATATTCCAATCCCAATTAAAATATTCCAATCCAAAGCCAACGAAAAACAAACATATTTTGTTGCTAACTACAGTAAGGTTCAAAAGCTTTTATTCCGTACTCACAATACAATAATACATGGAAAATGGGACACATGGGACATATTAAAACAAAAACCACAGAAAGCACAATAAAACAGTATATAATGAATCAACATTATTACACAGCATCTTAATAAATCGACTGACTAAAAGATCATAAATTTTACATATTGAACTGACATATTAATGGAAAACATTCACTGTCTATTCGGTAACACCTCTGCATATATGTATGAAACATAGACAAGTGCTTATAATATCAGTCAAATCAATATCAGTAATAAATAATCAGCATAATAATAATAATAATAACCAAAACAGAATTAAGTTTAAGATTGATTTTGTTGCCGCTGTGATAAAATACTGTCGACAACCGTCCTTGCCGCATGGAAGTTAACACCTCGAGGACACGCTGACTTCACTACACTCCCCAGTTCCTGCATCACATGATCTGCGTCAAATGACTCTCGACCATCTGATTTGGCATCCTCTTGAGCCAAAATCTCTGCAATTATCACCCACAAATAATAGCAAATGACATCTTTTTCAAATTATAAACGCAGATTTCCCAAGTGATAAGGCACATTTGCTTGGTTCGTCAATGGTAACAGCTCGATTGCCAGTGCAGGAGGAAAGAAGTTTCACCACAGAACTGATGGCTAAGAGCATTGTAGATTGTGAGACGGCTGCTGGGTTGGAAAGGAATGTTCATAGGCTTACCTTTGACTCGTTCAGCGATTTTCGCTCGCCACTCTTCCTCTTTCTTGACGGCCTCGGAGTCGACCTTCGGCGCCGCTTCAAAACACAACAATATCACCGTCATATTGTCTCGAGAGCCTTTCGATAGACACGCATCCAATATCTACAAAGTTCACTTCATTTCAAAACACGCAATCGCAATCTACTCACGACGTGTTTCTTTCACAAGTGATCATTTCATCAACTTATCAATTATCTTCACCATACGTTTATATGAGCTTTCAGCAGTTTACTATTACTTGCACATTTACAAACAAAACCTGGTAATGTTTCACGGTTACGTGAGTAGAATATGCGCTCTGATCTGAATTACAGATACAGATCTATCTGCTCGGAATTCAAATGCATTCATGTCAATTCCTGCAAACATCCGTTCCAGCACGCATTCCTTCCGCACCAACACCGTGACTATGCGACTTCTGCTAACGAAACCCACGCCAATTGCCCACGTCAATCACTAAATGCGAAATAAAATGCTCAATTATGAAACACACTTGATTGGCCACTGATGACAGGTCGTCGGTGATACGTAAACGGGACTGAACGAAATCACACAGTTCGCTATTATCCATAACATCGTATATTCCATCACATGCCAGCAACAAAAACTCGTCTTCTTTCTGAAAGAAACAACAATAAAAAAATAAACGAGTGAAGTTTTACTAAAAAAAATCAAAAGCATACATACATTAAGGGAAAAGAAAGTGAAGGTGAAGTTTACAACAGAAACAATGTTCGATGTTCGATGCAACAACTTCGTGAATAGATCTCGTGAGTTCAGTTGAAATCTCGTGACATTGCTGGCATTTATTTCACTATTATCAATGATAGGAAATAAAAAGACCACTCGGAAGACCTCCAATAAGATGGAAAGACGATATTATATGAAGAAACTGGGTAACACCTGGCAAAGGAAAGCAAGATCAAGGACCGAATGGAAACNGCATTGTGGCCAGCAATGTTACAAACGTTTGATAGCTTGGCCAATCCAGGTAAATTATCAATGATTATAAGATAGATTTTGCAAGAGGCCACCGATTTGATGAAACGAATTCGTTCGAGAAACCGCATGTGAATGCACGCAAGATGGGATGTTAAACTACACACTGATGTTAAAATGCACACTAACATGATTTCTTTCTATTGCGTATATGTCTGGTTCGGGCGACACTAACTGTTCGGTGACCTTCAAGTCGGGTACAGATTTATATTCGAAATCGCCGAGTGCACGCGACACGGCTAAACTGCCGTTGACGCGCTGTATCATCACCGAACCACCTGCCTTCACAATACGTTCACGTTCCTTGGGCAGAAACGGCTTATGATCTTCAGTACCAATGATATCCTTATCACGTCTCGATAAAACCGCTCGAGAATCACCTGAACGAAATCGTTGGTGTACAGCCAACACTAAATCAAGGGCAGCCTTCGTCTCGAATACTCTTTTAAAAGTCATTTCATTAAAATAAACCACCGCCTTTCTTCCAAATCAATCATGCGCTCAAAACGATACTCAAAACTAATTTCTCACAATAATCGGTCGTCGATTACTTTTTGTAATTTTCCCAATGAACTGAATAACTGAGCGAAATTCTCTCAGCCCTTGCATCAAATTTGGGCACAAGATTCGAGAAGAAGCGCGATGAATTGCTTGGAAAATTACCCTTGCATTTCAACTAGATACTCGAAAAAATAAACTGACTGATTTTGCTCATCAACACTGTATCATCCAACAAACAAAGCGTATAACAACAGATACATAAACTTCCACAACTAACCCAGATTTGCAAGCAGAATATGACTTGGTGTTACAATGGCGCAGATGGCCGTCGTGCCACTGCGTTCTTTGTCATCACTCTGTTCACTCCTCTCTTGCATTTTCGCGTCCAAATTCAAGAATCCACGCTTAATGCCCTCTTCCAGCAACGCGATCACCTCTTTATCCATTGTGTTCTTCTTATCCGACATCTTCTCAACCACCTGAACGCTCCACTCTTCATTCATAATCCATTACGTTCACTCACCTTCTTCAGTGAACTCGACAAAAAATTTCATCAACTCAAACTTAAACTTAACGTAACAAGAGCAAAAGTGTGTAATGTAAATGTAACATTAATCGAATGATGAAACTTTCAAATAGATTGAATCAGATGAACGTCTACTTCAGATCTGCATTCGATTCAGTGTGTTCAATTCAATGTTCTGAGGATGTTCCGAGATCAAAACGAACCTTCTGAAATTGTGGTGTTTCAAGAAGAGTTTTTAAAATGTTTTCAGCGGAATGCTGTGCAGCTTTAGTGCCGGCATGACCATCGAACACCGCAAAAAATGACCACTTATCGAACGGTGGCTTATCAGCTATTTGAATCTTGACGACGTGCGCATCCTCCATATCAACTCGCCAACCCTGCATCGACGCCACCGCATAACGAGCACCCTTCAAACAAACCTCTCAGTCAATCGTCTACAATCATTTGAATTTCGACTTTTCAATGAATCAGCTGAATTTTCAACGAATTTCGATTCTGTTCCTCATTCACTTACGACGAGATAAAGTCTCAGAAGACCCGTGGGTTGTTTAAATTTCGAATTTCCACTATTAAATTCAAAACATTTCAAACAGATTTTCGCTAGCTGCAGCAATGCCGAACTTTTCTTTGCGCACACAAAATCGTAGAACAGATCATTTGTTATGACTACATTTCGGTCATCATTACCGAACACGATGACATGCCACTATGGAATGTGCAATTCAGTGCACTTTTACGAATGAAAGCTCAAATATCACCCCACAATGATTTATTTCAGTCCACGTCCATTTACAACCGGTTTCATTGAACAGAGATAAAAATAGAAAATTTTTTTGCTAATTGACACGTTTTTTCTGTCAGAAAAAAACTGATTGCGAGAGAAAATAATTCTTGACTTTTGATGTGTCTTCACGTACAAAACTAGAACGATTAGTCATCATTTCGCCAGATCGATCGTTCGAGTATATCATATCGCCGACCTGATTCGATGGACCATCTCAAACAACGGCACACGGGCGTCAGAAGCAGTCGTCATTAACTTAATCGTTAGTGTGAAATGGTCCCGACGTCCAACTATTGCGAAATCAATCACATATCAATATAAAGTGCTTATCTGTGCGTGTGATTATTATTACACCAACGATAAAAGTTTAAAAGTTTTTGACACGCACACAAGCACACACAAACAGCACATTGTGACATCATCGTACGTCACTGAATTTCATCGTTACCTACTATAAAGAAACGTGGAAAATTAGAGCGAACAACTCTTCTCACAACACCTCTACTATACGATCATGAAACAACAACTTGCGAACGGACATTACGAAACGATCACAACCTTCATCCGTCGGAACTGTCAACTAAACTGTTAAGGCTATCGAATTGTCCATAATGGACATGCATTGCAAAAGTTTCTATTTAAAGAGACAACTGAATGATAAAATGCTCACAGTTCAAAAATAGGCCATTTACAATGATTCATTTTGATAAAAAATTACGGCAAAAGTATTCGCCGTGTTCAGATAAGGTATTCATAGTGCTTCCGAATGCTAATATTTACATAATTTTTTTCCGGTGGCAGAATCAATCAATCACGTTATGAATCTATTTCACTTCTCGATTATATGATGATAGCATGAAGTCCCATCACGGCTTTAATATGCAACAATCGTATGGACCAATAAAGTGGCTGAGTGAAGAATGGTAAGAAATTGGAATGTGAGAAAGAAGAAACGAGAAAAAAACACACACTGACATGTGCTACACCATAGCTGTTTTGCTTCTCGGTCTTCGGTTTATCCAAAAAAGCACCCATTAGGATATAGAAGTATGCTTCAGTTTGATCACTGCTGCTGACCTGCTTCTGCCTGTGTGACGATAACCGCGATAGTAGTAGTAGTATGCTATTCAAAATATGTTTCTTGAGTGTGCCGATAATTTCCCTCAGAACCACCCAAGACATACCATCTCGAAACACACTTTTTATCTATTCAATATCTGCAAGCGCTTCAAAGAATTTATTTGCGATATCATTCAAAATAATCACAACGCCATAAACATGAAAAAAATTTATCGAACCTCAACTCGTTAATATTGCACGTATGAAAATTTGCTCGACAATCTTCAAAAAATGACGAGACGGCAGCGTGTTCAATCAAATCATTGAGCGTACGTACGTTTCGAGAAAGGAAACGTAAACATTTCACAGAAGCATCAAAATGGAATTTTTTCATCAGTGAATTTTTTCATCTCCCATTTGCAATATCACTAAACGATTCCCTTTCTATTCGAAAAATATGTTCGCAATTCAAGAAATATTTACAGTCTCTAGTTATAAATAGGAATATATAATCATGAATCACGACTAATTTTAAAAATACTCCCAATTCATACACTACAAATAAGATTTCATTCAACTGTCAGCTAATCACGCCTGGACAGTCACCAACTCAAGGAGATGGAACAATTTAAGACATCAAAGATCGTACTGAATTGACAACACGAACAGGATATCAAATTTCCAGTATTTTCAGCAGCCAAATTTGATGGTTGGTATCTCAACTGATAAAAATAATGCAAAACAACAAGTATGCTGCTGCCGCTGCTATTAGCACTTTTATTTACATGAAATGAAAAACGGCCAGAACAATATCCCAGTGGAATAAAATTTTCGAATGAACAAATCTTCTTTAATTAACCACACATTATCATCCGTTGAACATTGAACACAAAAATTCAACAAACTAATTCATTTAGCAAAATATAATACAAATATAAAATTTTGTAAAAAAAAATAAATGAAATTTCCGATGACTATGGAAACTTCGTATAGATTGTACATCCATTTGAACAGATTTGACTGAATTTAGCAACTAGAATCATTCGTAACTTTATTCATTTTTAACAGTGATTCTTGACGAAAGCAAAATTGTCACCGACACAATTTCGCTGAATTATAACAGCACGAACAGATAGATCATTAGACACAAGCCAAATCCGTTCATTCTATTATGATCTCAATTAGGTCTGATTGTAGCGTTTGACGCTCATCAGAACAGTTTCGCACTAAACAACTCAACAAAACCATTCTGTGAAGGCTAAACAACCTCCCCGACAGCTCACAATAACAGCACCCATCCTGTAACCGATACGTCAAGGGCTCGACTCCTGTTTACGGGGGGAAATTTTGTTCGAAATCGAATCGTGAACCAATATCTTCAATGAAAATATCCAACGAAATAGAATTATTTACTCGTCACGGGTAACATCTCAAATTGGAAATTGAAAAATGAATAATAAAATCCAATATATACATCATAGGCAATATGGAATACAAGTTTAATCTTACACGAATTGAACATGACTGAAAGATTGTGAATGACGTCTTTAAAATTGCTGACAAAAACACTCAAATTTGAAATTCATGAAACGAGATCAATGAATAACATTATTGGAACCGAACAGAGCTGCTAATTATTTCTCATTTATGATTCGTCTGTTTTGCGACAAACTTCTCTGTCATGGTTGCTGCAAATACCTTTCAATATAACTGAATGTCAGTTGCCACAGATATCCGAATTTGACTGAAAAAAATTTCGGTATTCTGAAAAAAATGCATCGGACCAATCAACTCAAATGTGGTGCATATTGCCCTCTACTACAGCAATATCAGAATCATCTGCTGCAGTCATCCACAAAAATACATCTCTATTTGCATAAATCACTGTTCAGCACTGAACTCTAAAGCGCACTTCAAATTTTCCCTGGTGTTGCTCTCCTTTCCATGTTTTATCCGCCACAGTCGGCCTTCAGAACACCCCAACTTGCTCACATTGGATTAGCCATTCAATGAATCTAATCTTTTCTCTATTGCACAAAATCACAGTGAACAATCATTCGTTTACGGTTTTCTCAATGAATTCTTCATCATTTATTCCTGATCGATCCGTCACTCAGAGTCACTCGCTCGCTGATTCTGATCCACATCAGGCAGCAATCACAAAACCCGACCAGGTAATCACTCCTTTCTTCTTACTTACACTCATCATCACAGTTCCATTGTTCACTTGAATTCACTCCAGTTACTCACTATCCGAATCAAGCAGAACCAATTTTTGACGTTTTCGCTTCGCTTTCGTTTCATCCTGAAACTGTATGAATTAGCTTCATACTCTATGGCTCATCAGCACGATACAATCAAATAATCTGACTCAATTAACTCTCGACTAACTATACACTAAATTTCACTAGTAATCTTTCCAATGAATCAAATCCGATGCGAAGATGTAATTCCTCAGCGAATTTAAAGTCTCACTCACATCACTCGCATCAGCCGCTTTCTTGTTCGTTTTTCGCCGTGAACTTCGTTGATTGTGTGCGCCATCGTCACTGAGAATTTCCATCACAGCGAACAACTCACTGAAGCGAAGCCGTAGTGATGACACCTGCAACGATTCACTCGTCGTAACCAAACTAACTTTGTAAACTTTTTTTTTTGCCAAATGAATTTCTCACCCATACTCTATCAAAAAGCTACCGTCTGCACAAGTTTCAACCAAACAAAAAAATAAAAATTATCACTGAAGTCAGATCAAAGAAGCCTTCTGACTGCCAGACATCACCTTATCAGATTTCCTCGCATTATCGAACGCTGTTTGCAATTCACGTCTTGCCAAGAACTGCTCTGCCAAATGGCTCCCCTTCGATAGACAATTCTGTCGAAACAGATCCAAATGTGCAAAAAGTTGTTCCAAGCAAACGCTCCTAAAAAGATTTTATAGCGTAACAAACTTTTCTTCAACTCATACATACACAAAAATTTCGAGAGGAAAAGCGATACAGAAATCTTGAAACTTTCATTGGTAAAACCTCATTGAAATTGTTCGTTTACACTACTAAAATATTTCTGAGAGTTAAATTTCCATCGATATACAATACCTCTCAAGCGCTGCACAGTCTATGTGATCATACGAATGAATTTCTGCACATTACAGACCCAAAACCACACGAAAAACATGACATTTTCTCCAGAAGCAAACAAAATTAACGA